TCTTCTTCTTCTTCTTCTTCTTCTTCTTCTTCTTCTTCTTCTTCTTCTTCTTCTTCTTCTTCTTCTTCTTCTTCTTCTTCTTCTTCTTCTTGACCGTAATCCATATAATTAAATGCTGGAGTACTCGTCGTGCCCCTTCGTTGTCCATCTCCTTTATATACGCTGAAAACAAAACTGAGACGGTTTACCTGGAAATAGATACAATACTGCAGTAAAGCAATAATAATAATAATATACACCACCACAAAAGTCGGCAGACTCAAGAAGCCATGAAACATATGGATGTTTTGGTGTTGAGTATCACCAGCAATAATGGGTACCTGACTTCAAGTTCGGAAAGTAAAGGCGGCGTGGAAAGGAACTGGCCACCATACCACAATATGTCGAAGGTTCAGGAAGTTGTCTCACTAACAAGGCAATCCCCAATGTCCGGATCGGATGCGGGAACAACTTTTTTTTATCAGCATTGACCACCCACCCAAACGCCGTGTCAACGATAGACGCTTGACATTACAGTGAGCCTCAGCTCACTAACCATTCAGCCACACTAGTTAAGAATAGTCCAGAGACGCAAGAGACTGCATGTGGTACACAGATGGATCCCGGCAGATTGTCGAAAAGCCAATTACTTGCCTCCACTGCTTCGGTAACAACTCGGAAGCAGAGACGTTGCTGATTGACGGTAGACCAGAAGTAGAGCAGATGGAGGCAGACACACTGACTGTATGCTTAACGGATGCATTAATTGCAGCTTCTTAGGTGATAAGGGGGGGGAGTCCTGATAAACATTTTTAAAAGATGAACAGATAGGTAGTAAACACGAAGAAAAATAAACGTAAATGCATCAAAGCAATGTACTTTTGGTGGTTTCTGATGAATGTCATAACCACATTTATATATCCCAATGGAAGTGGACACCCAAAGTACAAAATAGTATTCATCTCTTTTCTTTGTAGCAGGCTTGTTGAAAAACAACAGCATGCAATAACGGACTTATTGTACCAGGAAAAGTCTCAGACGGCAATTAGAAGGAGAGAAAGAAAACACGGGATGGTACAATAATTGTCAAAGACACAAAAGAAATGCTAATAGAGAGGAAAGAGTATAAAGTATGAAGCGCTCTGACACTGTGGAGACACAAATGAAAAGCAAAGAGAAATTGTCCGAGACATACCTCTTGTTGCTCTCGAATCTGCTTCAGCTGCTCTTCAGAAATGGAATCACTACCAATCATCTTTCTTGCATAGTCTTGCATATTAGACGAGTTTGGAACTGATGACAAAATAAAAATTAGAAAACTGAAAACTGGAAGAATTTCAGCTTTAAACTTTTCACATTTAACATATCATCTCTCCATCTGATGCATATAGATATTCCTTAAGAAAATAGATGGGCCCCACAGAAACACAAATCACACTAAAAACACATTTTTGTGAAACTTCTTGACCATGTTTAAAGCTGTAAAGATGGTGCTTATTGAATACAAGTAATCCTCTTGGCATAACCGTAACTTCTACAGCTTTTTTTTCAAATCAATTAAAACAAGTTAAATTAGAAACCTACTGATTTGCTTGGACAATAAGCAGCAATATCCTACCTGGAATTTGAGCTCTTGGCGGTAGTTGCATATGAGGCTGTATGGTAGTCACACCTCCCAGCTGAATATTTGTTGCCACACCTGACACAAACAACACTTATTAATTAATTATTAGTCAGGCATTTTCTCAAAACCAAAACACAAAACCAACCTTACCAGTGATACAAAATGATTAGGTGATGTACATTAGAGTTAGGTTATAAGCCCAGCACTTAAGTCCTTGTACCCTTATCCTTATAAGGCTCATGCACCTGAGGTCCCTAGAGTAGATGGCCAGATTCTCACCACTGCAGATTGAGATGGGCCTTCAGTGTACAGAAAGGCACAGGTAGAACATACTCAGGCCTGCTCTAGGGTCCACAGAGTTAACCTCCCAGACCCAGGGCTTAAACTCCCTGAACCAAAAAAAAACTTGTAGTAATACTTTGGTCTTCCTTCATTCTCTGCTAGAGGCAAATGTTGTAAGTGTGGAGGAGGAGATAGAACGTGTTATATGAAGGTCTTGGAAGTTGAAGCATACAAAAAGCATATAATGGGCATTGCCAAGACAATGACGGAATGAAAATCAGTGAAAGGTCACCTCAAACCTGAACAAACTTTAAGATATTCCGAACACAGATTAATAAATTACCAACGTGCAGGAAAAAAAACTTTTATGGAAAGGCTCACGTCTGTTTGACCCTGAAAGCAATACATCACTAAAGAGAAACACTTCTGTAAAAATGACAGAAGAAAAAAGCAGAACATCAGGAAAGAATGACCTGGAAAAAGAAGCAAACAGTCATAACCCCTACTTACCTGGCACAGTACCCCCAACAGCAGCAATACCGGGCGGGCCAAGCGACGGAACCACCAAACCAGGTGGTGCTAATGACGGGGTCGCTACACCCGGCGGGGCCAGAGAAGGGGTGATCAGGCCTGGGGGTCCCAGCACAGGGTTTGCCACACCAGGGGGCGCTATGGATGGCGTCATGACAACACCTGGGGGAGCTAAAGATGGCGCCGCAACACCCGGTTGGGCAATAGGAGCTTTCTGGTCGCCCCAGCGCGAACGGCGCTTTTTCCGCATAGGTTGCCTCAGGTCTCTCTCTGTGCAAAGACAGAATAACATTTCATTTTCATTTACTCTCTGCTACAAATGCATTTTTTTTCTTTTAATCTTCTCCTTCTTCTTTTTTTTTTCATTTCCCAATCAGATCTTAGGATTGGTCGACTAAAAATTTATAAGGCCACAGGGCATCCAACTGGCATTTACGTTCTTAGCAGTTTTTCCTACTAGATAATTTTCAAAGGCACTCCTAATTAAGGTACAAATATACACACACTGAGTTTTGTGTTGTTCATGGTAGGACTTAATTTTCAACTGTTACCATATAACAATCAATGAGACCAGCATCTTCCAATTTCAAATGTTTAAAATCTTTTTTTTTTTTTAATAGGTCTCTGACTTGACCTCCCTTATCCATAAGAAATAAGTTCTCACCCACTTATCCCTGTGTCAGGGGAGTGAAAAACAGAAAAAGCCAAGTCAACTACCGTCATTCCCCCATGAATCAGGAATTGTACCATACAGTTAGGTACAACAGCCTAGCATCTTAACTCGGGACAAACAAGCCCCAAAATTTGTTTTTAACGACAGATCAGCTCAAAAGAGACTACGGCAGAAAAGGCTGTCTTGCCTCTCTCTCTCTTCAGATATTCCATGCTACAGGCCCACAAATCCTGACAATTAAAAGTAAGCCAGTAATCAAGTTTTCTAAATGGACACTTTCCAATGCTGTTTGATTTAACCACAAGACTCAACAACCTCACCCCTGAAAGGAAATGAAAATGGACAACCAAGAGTTAAACTTCTAACACATACTAGACCAGTGAAATAAAAATGTCAAAGTAACAAACAACTGACTAATATCACAATGACTTTATACATTGTAAGTATATATAGAAAAAGGCTGTACCTATAGCCAACTATATAAACATTCCCATACCTCCATCATCTTCAGCATCTGCATCGTCTGCTTCTTGTTTCACATTTAACCTCAAGACCTGTTCAACTTTCCATCGAAAATACTTATATGTGTCACTGGCCCTGTTTCGCAGAAACCTGAAATACATGTGCAGCTGTTATTAGCGATTATCTTTTGTAATAATCACGATAGCTAAATAATTCAAAAGACAAATTGAAAAACTGCGTGAATCAAAACCATTATAGATGTGCTTTCTTTGCAGTGAAGAAAACGCTCAAGACAGAGAGGACGGACTAAAGTCATATCTTCTGAATCAGGACTAAACCGGCATAAGTCAACAAACATCTTAAACTCAACCCAAAGTATGACCCCCAACTGCAGACAAAAAGCCAATGCCTACATGAAACACCTTTCTAAGTTCTCTTTGAAAAATCTTCACATCAAACTACATGGAAGAATTTATGCTACAGGGAATGGCGTTTGTCATGCCTTGCTTTTAGAGACAATTTGTCGTATTTACACAGTCTTTTTTTTATAGGCAATCGACCACTAAATCAAGCACCACCCTTCATCCCCGGGGATCAAAAATTGCACTTGACAAAGCACCCTCTCACCGAAAACTTAAACACCTTCAATCAGCAACAGGACCAAAAAGAGCAGACAGCCAACCTTCATCAGGCTGACATGGTTTAAAAGAGAGAATGACTCAAACTTTACAGCTTGAGAAAACAATAGGAAGTACTGCCAGATAATAATTGCAAATCCATTTCCTGAAAAAGAGAACTATGACTGAGAATGTCATTATACACTCCCATCATATTTTCATATCAGCCTTATGCACAGCTGTTAACAAGCAGTACTTTAGTTCTTTTAGTTGTTTTCAATTTAGCAACTCTCAGAATGGAAAACCGCACAGAGCAGTCGCATCTCCTTAATCTGTATGAACCATGCAGGATTTGTGGAACATTCACGCATCTACACCGTGTTACTTTTGTGTAGACAAAATGAGGCACATTTAAACAAACACTGCCTATCAAAGTGCACTTCTAGAGGCTCAACCACTGACGCAAAGCAGCACCTATCTTTGGACAGACCAATGTGGAAAACTGTCCTGTTTGTTACCTGCATAAAAACCAGTGATGAACAGCAAGAACATAGGCCAAAACAAAACAAGAACATAAGGTATTGCATAGGCAGGCCGGCGCCGATGGAGTCATGGTGGTGAGTACAGCTGATAGTTGATTAATGACTAACAGAAGTGTGGTCACTGACCAAATGCAAGCAGCAACCAAAGGAGCAGTTTTCCAGTTAGTGGAACAACAGTGCACATTAAAAAAATACATGCACTTTCAATCTGTACAAAGTGCTCCAGGATCCTCCCCCCTCCACCCGAGATGTTTCTGCAGATAGGCACAAAGCACACCAGTGACGGAGTGCTGACACAAATGTTGTCTCCTGCAGAACCATCATAGAACCATAGTAAAAAAAAAAAAAATACATTTGTACTTCGGCCCCGAACAAGCTTCACTCATACTACACTACAACAAACAAATCACTGACATACACATCCATAAAAGTTTGGTCCTTTTTGAAAAAAATATTCTGATAGGAAATACTATTCTTACTGAACCGAAAATCACAAATTCAAAAGGAGGTTATTTAAATACTAGCTGGGTACCCCGTTCGATGAACGGACTCAAAAGAATCGATCGTCAAGTCATTGTGGGATCAGTGTGCAGTGTATGTGAACGGAAGCTGATCTACATATATACATTTGATCTGAATCAAGTACAACACATAAACAGACGATCTAGATCTGGGTTTCGCCTTACACCATCACAAAAAAGTACTAAGAAAACAATAATCCACGAAAGGGCTGCTACATTGTAAAAAGAAGACACCGATGTCTTCAAAATCACAGAGGCAGTGTGTAACTGTAAAGCCTTGGCAGAGAGACACTATACTTCCCGCAAAATATCACTTCTGGCACTTCTGCTGTGAAAGACAGCTACACAGATTTGTTTCATTTCTCAGTGGAATAATCACAAAGGCCAAAGAAGGACGGGAGCTTTTTGTCAGATATATATTTTTTAATTCAGGAAATATACAAATAAAAAATCAGGCTTCGTCATGGGGACCTATTTATCTTTTTGCAGGTACTTGCCAACTTTCAAATCTGTAGTTGTCGTTTTAGTTTTATGGGAAAAGTAACACATGTGTTTCCAAGTTGCCAAATATATAATAGATAAGCATGTAGCCATGTCTCCTTGCATTGATGAAAATATTGTCTCTTACCACTTGTCATATGTACAGAGCTAACCATATTCTCTACCTCAATACAACATGAATTTGAACTTGGCTGAAACAATCATTTAAGAGACAGACGTACAACTCTTTTTTCATTTTCAGAATGATCATTGCAAAAGCATATTATTTTGCACTTCAGTTTCCACTACCAAAACAGCCAGACTTGCATGAACATCATGAAAGTTCTTTACAACAAATGAAAAAACAAAGCACTTGTAGAAAGGTGACAGGGTGAAAAATCAGCAAGTCGGTTCAAACAGAAGTCTCTGAACTCAAATTAAGTGCCTCTAGAATTTTGTCATGTACAATTCTATCGTCTCGTAGACCCCAGCATTGACAATATACAAGGACTTTATTTAAAGCATTATTATATTATTGTCTGGAACACTCACCAATAAAGAGGATCATTGGCATGCTCGTCCAAAGCCTTTTGCTCTGTCTCTGGCCCACTGAGCAAAATTTGTGCAGCTAACTGCTCAATGACATCCAGGGTTTCTTTGTCTTCTGGGGGACAGACTGGAAACACGCTGGATCAACTTTTAAGCTCGGAGACATTGTGCTGAATGGATTTTCAATTCCAAGTCTTAGCCCCAAGACTATCAAGAAAGAGCTCTTGAAAGCCTTGACATAATCACTTCAATAACACATGTTGAAAAGCCTAAAATCATTTAAAAAATTATTTCATAAGCCTTCACTTCCTTAAAGTTTAAAAATGCAGATCATACTCTAGTTTGCAATATTTCTTATCTACATTTCTTTGTTAAAATTCATGAAAAGTAAAAAAAACAACAACAGCTATTTAGCTTATAATAAGTAAAAAAGTATCTTTATTTTCTATTTTTTTTAAACCTTTGAAAAGATTATTTGTGAGCGATCCATTTTCTAAGAAATCTTTTCTGAAAACAAACTATCAACCCCCCCCCCCCCCCCCCCCCCCCCCCAAATACTTTTTTTATTTTTTTTATTTGTAAGAATGAAAACGAATTAACAGAGCTTAGCAATCATTATCTTTGAAATTCAAATGCCTTCCCAAACGATTTCAGAAAAAATTACAAAGAATTTCATGAACAAACACATTCCAGATCTAGACAAACAAGACACTTTTTACTTAAATCTACTATCCTTACCAGGTGGTCCATTATCTAGCTCTGACATGAAAGCCCCCGGCAGCCTTGTCCCATCATTCTTTGCAACATTTTTCTGACCCAGGGAGCTGAGAAATCAAAGCCAAAGGGAAAATTTTCACTTACCTGGAAGTTAACACAAAGGAGAAATAATGCCATTTATACATAAAATCAAGGCAGCTCCCTTCCATTTCAAGATTTCACTTTGAGTCTAGTAATTCAAAAAGCTTTAAAAACAGCATACAAAACAGATAATCTATTATCTTTTTTTTCCAATTAAATGTTGCAGATGCCCCTTTTGTAAAAAAATAAAATCAGTGCTATATCATATAACACACAAAATAACTTCAAGCTGGTGTCAAATGAACTCTATCTTAAAAAGCACTGCCAATAATCCCATCCTATCTCTCCCAGCAGCAATTGTGTTCGAAATAGACATTGGAAACGAAAATAAATGCCAGCCTCCATTTCCAATATATAAGAGGAATGTTACTTTCTATCAGACTTTCTCCAAATCACTATCTTTTCAGCCTTGAGCTTCTCTTGAAATTACCCAAACAAATCTCTCTTAACTCTTATCAGAAAACCTAACTGGAAACTTTTTAAAATACTGTTTAAAACAACAACTAACTAAATTTGAAAACTCACAAAGAAACTCCATTGCATCTTGACACCATTGTAACTCCAGGCATCACATGGTCGGAAACTAAAAAAAAAAAAGTAACAACCATGATTATTAGCTACGGCTTACTTAAACAGATACAGAAAACATATTTTAAAGAAACTACTGATATCAAGGGCAGAAAGTATTTTGTCTGTATTGAATACACTAAAAGTCAAATAAAACATAAAACCATTTCAGCAAACACAGATAAAGTAAACAACTGCTTAAAACTCCATTTTTAAAACCAGAATCAAATCAATAAAACATGCAACAAAATATGACCATCCGTTGAGACCCCAGACAACAAGAAAATAACATAATACTGGCTGTCCTTCTGTGAAGTAATAAAATATCTTTCAATTTAATGGCAGTATGAGAATTTCTAACAATCAGTCAGCATCTCTTCCTCCTCAAGGAATAAAAGCAGGAAAATATCCACAGCTCAGTGTAAGACTCCACCATACCCCATTTTGAAAAGTGACATATGTATATGACAGAGTCCGACACTGAGCAGTCGATATGCACAAGACTAAAAGCACAATTCATCTTTTCACTTGAGCCAACTTCCATCCCCTAGAATACCAAAACATCCACTACTCAGAACACTGATGGGAAACAAACTGACCCACTGCACAATAGGAAAGGGCTATAACAACTCTGTTAGAGAAGATTAAGCAGAACAACACAATATGAACACCAATGCTTAGATGTACAAGTACAATATAATATATTAACTTTGTTGTGGGATTATAATGATGAATCATGATCTCTGCTTTCTCTCCTTACCTTTTTTTTTTAGGGGGGAAGTGTTTACACGGCGCTCGCAACTGCATACGATCATATGAGCGTGTGGTCTCCCTACCTTTATCCTTAAATAAAAATCAAATGGTCAAAAGAGTACTTCTCTTTTGAAAGGACCTATTAACCTATTAGTGTATACTATATACGTAAGCACACCTCGTACCTAGATATTTTTAAAAAGACAAAATCCAAAAATACATCATGAAAAAATCAAAAGAAAGGTGAACTTACCGTCTGTATCATCAGTTGGTGCAGCAGGATCGTATTCTTCCACTTCACTTTTCACAGCAGTAGTAATTGGTCCATACATTCCCATCTCCTGTTTAATCACTGGTTTTGACAGGTCCGGTTGTACATACGGCACATAGGCGGCTGGCTGGCTCTGAGTCAAAGTCACAATTGGTTGCTGTTGCACAGGGGTGGGGCCGTACATCCCCATGCCGGCATTAACATGCGGGTTATACGCAACCGAAGCAGGCTGTGGCTGGGCGGCAAGAGTAGGAACAATGCTAGACGGAGCCACTGAAGGTGGCGGGTAGCCTGTTGAGAAGTGAGCTGTGGGGGTCACACTGTTGACCACTGGCAGACTGCCAGCCGACATCGGGGGTGGGGGGGTGTAAACATTGGTCATGACAGGAGGGTTCTGTGGTTGCATGGGGACCAGATACATACTGGACACGGCTGTTGGCTGTGCGGGCTGCACAGCCTGTATGTGCTGGGTGGGGGCGACAGACTGCACTCCGTTGTTGAAACTGGTCACTACAGCCACGGACGGTGGAATTTGCAGGGGAACGCTTGACACTATAACTGTCTGTATCTGGGGTAATGGACTCTGAATGGCTGCCATCCCAGAGGTAGCAACTGGTAAAGGAGCCATGTGGGAAGGCATTGAGCCAGGAGGCGCCACTGAGTGGTGAAGATTAATGACAGGTGGTGACGCCACATTCTGAGCATTGACTAAAACCATGCCAGGGGCAGCCATTGCAGGTGCCGTTCCCTGAGCCACTGAGAGAGAGGGTTGGAGAATCGGGTTGGCTACACTGTACAGATTAGGATCTACTGGGGGCACTTGCTGACTCAAAGTAAGAGACATTTGGACTGCTTGAGGCTGGCTAGCAGTCAGGAGAGGTTGACTGAGCAGTGGTGGAGCTTGGCTGTACTGGGGGGCATAGGATGGACCAAACGAGGGCACAGGCTGAGAAGGTTGAGATGAAGTTGCCAAGCATTGACCATGAGTCGTGTACGTTGAAAAAGCCACCTGACTGACCATTTCTGGGTCTGAAACAGCCTGCGTTACTGCTTGACTGTATTCATATGACTGGTAGTTGTGGCTGTGCTCTGTGGACAATACAGCAACCTCAGGTGCAGGAGCAGCCTGAGTTTGATCAGTTGAAACATCATTCTGTGCGTGACCATTTTGGGATTCTTCCTGTGTCTGTTGTCCGGGGCTATCTGCTGGGGACGCAATCTCTCCTTCTTGGCCATTTTCTTCCTCCTCTGGACTATAACTGGCAAAATCTTCCGGTGACTTGCTGGAGAACGGCAAAAAAACCTTTCAGTTAGGCCAGCCTTCACAGAAAGAACTGATATAAATATTATTATGGGTGTGAGTGCTAGACAATCGACAACACTACGAAAAGAAAATTAGAAGCAACAGAAATGTGGTTCATTAAGAGAATGCTGAAAATATCATGGAGAGTGTAGAAGCGACAAATCATGAAATGCTGGCAATGACAAACATGAAAAGGTCACTCATAAAAACATTAAAGGGGCAACAGATGAAATTCAAGAGACATGTCTACAGAAAAGGAGGGCTGGAATAATTAAGTATGATAGGGTAAAAAAGCTGAGGATTCCAATACACAAGATTCATAAATAGCCTGAACTCCTAGGAAACTGATGTCACAAAGAACAACAACTCTTTCAATTCATGAGGGCCTAGAGTAAAAGAACAAGATGGAGAACCATAACTGTCAAAGTCAGCTTTAAGATAGTGTTGAAAGAAGTTCTTTAATTGTTCTCAACTTGAATATGAGCCTTTCTCAAAGGTGAGCACAGCAGAGTGATTCTTTATCTCCATCTTATCTTTTTTTAAATAGTAGAAGGTTTTACAGTGCTAGCAACTAAAAAGGTCATATGAGCGCCAATTATCATCTGTGATGAACAATGCAAAGAATTTGAATGAAACTAGGCTCTTTCAATAAAGAAAGAAAATCAATGGATACTGTTTGTACTTGATAGCATATTTGCCACATTCCTCAAGTTCAGGATGTAAATGTCAAGGATAGTTTGCATTTCATCTGTACTGAGCCTGGCACTCCCAATAATAAGGTCAAAGAGAATTTGCAAAAATTAATCAACTTTCTTACACATGAGTCATTTGATTCTCTTTTCACCTACACATTTAGAAAAACACCCACTTTAAACTACTTTAAAAGTCAGTAGAGCATAATATTTACCTTTTGAAAATTTAGGACAATGCGATGTCTTAGGCCAACCTTTTATTAATATACTGGCTCATATCATCAAACATATTTTTGCACTGAGATTTAGTTGTTTAAGGATATTTGCAACATCATTTGACATTGGCTATGTAAATGAAAGTTCAACATGAACAGAGTATTACAAAACTGTTTCCGACAGCCAGGTATAAAACCTGCTGTTAAGTAAAGAAGAGCAGGCACAGATATTGAGACAGCAGTTGTGTAAATGGACTAAGATGAATGCTGATCTCATTTTAAGTTTAATTCATGAAATATTTTTAAAAAATCAGTTTTTCTATAGTTTCAGTTTTATTACTAACTAAATCATGAGCATCGCACCTCTCCAAAATTAACTAAATTATGAGCATCGCACCTCTCCAAAGCTAATTGAATGATAAGCATCATCACCTCTCCAAAACTAACTAAATTATGAGCATCAGCACCTCTCCAAAATGATTTGAATCTATGTCCACATTATCAAGTAATGCAGTCTTATTGTTGGAAAATATATGACCTTATTTCATGCACAGAACCACCTTTTAAAAGTTTAGAGCAAGTAATCTTTTATTCTCTTACCTTGAGTCCTCGGAAGCTTCTTGTTTGACTTCCTCCTTGACATCATTCTGACCATAACCTTTTGATATGAAAGAGGGCAGAATAATCGAAGGAGTGGGGAGTTTGTACTTGTTGCTATCTAGTTTGGAACTTGAAGGTTCACTTTTGACTTTATTCTGAAGAAGAGCTTTGCTTTCAGATGACGCTGAGCTCTTTTTGGCCACAGAAGCTGAGGACGAAGAAAAAAAAACCCCCAGAATATTCAGTTTGAGCTTTAACTCTTACAAATTGTCAGAACATTCAAAGTCACTATGAATAAAGCTTGAAATTTTGAAGGAATCCAAAGGCCCCTAAAAGGACCACATAAGGATGTCCATTCTGAAGCACACATATATGAAGTCTGCAAAAACAACTACAATAACTAAATCGTGTAAAAGTAGAATAAAAATTCATTTACAGCCAGCACATTCATCAAAATTGTATATACATGTTTCAAGTAATTGGATCAGGTTGTAAAAATAAGGTTTGAAGAATTCTACCAAAAATTGAAAACTCAAATTTACCGAGTAAAAGAAGAAGCCAATAAAAACAGGCCTGTGCAGAAGGAAAATAATACCTCTTCTAGCATATTACAGCTTTAGACACAGATACCTTGAACACTTTGCAGTCACACTGCCAGCAGTACAAAATAACCCATTTGATCATCCAGCCAGGAGAGTGACTGCTACAAACATCTCAGGCCTCGAGCAGTGACCGGAACTGATAACTTCCACCATCGCATTATTGCGCCAAGTGACCACAAAGTGTTAAGCCAGTTGAAGTAAAAAGGAAAAAGACTATTTTTTTCTACCTGTGTTTAATGACAAAGTTCAAGTATACACCTACTTTTGTCTTGTCCTGTCAGCTTCCTGAACTGGTCCAAAAAACTTCCATCATTACTGAATAAGTTGTTCACAGCAGGTGTTGTAGTAGTCTTTGTACTCTTTCCAATTCTGAAAGAATAGGCAACAAGAAAAATAAATTGTCTACTGAATACATAAAAAAGTGAAAAACTTTAGAAAATGATGGCATGAATAAAAGACAAAATTGCAATTACTAAAACCTTGATTGGTTGTAAAATTTTACACCACCATCCACACTATTGAGATCATTTAGGAGGTAGGCTGCTTCAACCCTGCCTGTCAGGACCAACCCTTACCGAGTCAGATACAACCTGCCAATGGACAGAGATTCTCAGTTAAATAAACTCAGCCATAAAGGAATCTCACTCATGCATGCCTTGCACTGCAAAGGCCGAACCATTACACTACAGATGACAGAGCCACAAGCTTCAACAACTTTATAAATTAAAAAAAATTAATAGGCACTTCTTTGTTTCAACTGTCAAAACACGAGTAAAGTAACCTATCGACCTTACATTACAAGGCCCATTCCAATACAAAAGAAATTTAGTAAAGAATCACTCACAGGACAATAGTATAATAGTTATATAATCTCTAAAAACCATCTTATGGGACAAAAAGTATAAAGAGTTCTGATAGTTAAATACAAAATACAGCAACAAAGTCATTTCTCCATCTAAATATTTTTAAAAATATTGTATTTTAACCATGTCAATGGATTGGGTTTTTTTTTTATTATGTGTAAACACTGCACTTTAACAAGCAAGCATATTTTGCTCCTCTGTAGCAGTCTATTGTCTTATTTAAACCCTTTGCAGGAGGGTTCTCATGATCTGAGGTATTTGCCTCTCACTCAATAGGTCGGTTCAAAACCTGACAATGACAGAAAATTTTCTTTTGTAACAAACAAAAACTTTCTCCTTTCACCTTTCCTGGTCTCTATTCATGTTCTGCCATCTACTTTCATCTTCTTTTTCTGCCACCCCCCCTCCCCTCTTTTGAGTTCTTAACTCTTTCTGCTGCCTTTCTACTGCTACTCCTTGGATCCTTACTACTGTCTTTCCGCCACACCACTGGTCTTATGATAGGTACCACCCAACACCTAGCCTTCTCGGATGAGGATAAAAAATCTTGGAGGTCTCGTATGTAAGTTGCATACGTTATAGTTAAAGATCCCTTCGTAGTCCTAAAATTGATAAGAGTGGGCTTCGGCTGCCATCCGGGCAAAGATCAAAATAAATTCCAACCAAAATGAAAATGCCCAATGTCACAATGTGTTGCACACGCTCATATGACCTTATATGCAGTTGCGAGCGCCGTAACAAAAAAATTCCCATTGCTATGATCTGGAGAAAAAGGCAGCAAAGGATGTAGATTTCTCTGAGTTTTGAAACACAAAATGTTTCCCAGCTCACCTCCACTTCTTATGATGGATTTTAAGGTTAAGATGATATTGCTCCTAATTGGTATCAAATCATCAACAAACAAGAGTCTAAGATGAAAAAAGGCTTTCTCAGAGTGTAACTATTTGACACATATATATATATCCTTTCTCTTCCTTTAGTAAGATTTAAAGGTAAACACATTTCTGAACAGATCGTTCTTTTAAATGCTCCCCATACTTTCCACTCTGAATCATAATTTTATGCAGAAGAAACAGAAAGAGGTATGGTAAAGAAACAATATGCTACACAAAATTTGACTTATTTGATAATACTTGAAAAGACCACATTGTATTCAAAGAATTTAAATAACAGAGAAAACAACCATTTTTAAGTACTTACAGCCGTGCTGTGTTGACATCAGAGGCAGATGGGGCTTTGTTAACAGTTGCTGATTTGGCTTGTGCTTCCAATTTCTCTTTGTACTGCTTCACTCTTTCTTCCAGAAACTTCTCATGTTCGCTCAAATCAAGAACTTTCCCCTGGTTACGATCCTTCTTTCTGTTTGACATCCTTGCTTACAAAGAGATATAACTTCCGTCTAAAAAGCCTATGTAAAAACATGAAAAGCAACATCATGACATTGAAATGCATAAAAATTATTAATATATATATTAAATATTAATTACATTCCCAATACCATTACCACTTCAGGCCCTACATCACAAGCAAATCAAGACGCTGACAGACAAATGTACTGGGTTGCAAACTGCACTTGAAAGAGGGGGGCTTAGGTTGTTTGCTTCAAACATAAACAGCATTCCCATTGTGAGATGCGAGGCTGTGCAACTAAAACAATACATTATTATGAATGTCGCGCAAGAATAAAGTATCAGTACATGATATCAAAGCCCACACAATCATCATGTGTGTGTGTTACAAGTAAGTTACTTTACTTTCAAAATAGATCATATATAGTGATAGTTTTATGTCATGTGCCAGTGTTGTGATGTAGAGTGAAAGATCATCATGGTGGTAAAGGCTGACCAGCATCAAAAGAATTTTTCTTTAGCCCTGCGAGGACCCCAGTGAAGCTCTTACTGGGACAGTTATAGTAACTTAAGAGTGCACCTCAAACACAGTTTGACAGAAGCAGAATGAAAAAGGGAGAAAGGGTTTTTGGATTTTCAGAAATATGGAGATCCCACCAAACTGAAGGCTAAGAATCCAACATAGATTTCATCATACTATTCATACAACAAATGTTATAAACATTAAGCCTTACATAACATGTTTACTCTAAAATCAAAGTTGCTCAAAGTTTGTTCAGTAAAAATGGGTACAGAACAAAAATCTTCATCTTTCTATAAAACTGGAAAAATGGAATAAAATGTCATATTTTGTCTCAACTTTGTTCACATCATGTCATTTTTAGACGATTTTAGGGTCCAGGGCCCTGGCAGGGGGTTGAAGGGGATGCCCCCTTATGTCTGAGAATTTTTGGTTTCAGGGCATCCTACGTATGCCATTTCTGGCTATTCAAGCCTACATTTTACAAGAAAACAGGTGAGACAAAAAAACACACTTGCATATAATTTTCTGCGTGTTAATCCATATAAATCCAAAGCCAATGCTTTCTCCCTTGTACCAATACTGTACACCCATTAAAGTCTAGTAACAGCTAGATCTATAAAACTTAAAAACTTGACAGTTAATGTTCAACTTTTTGTGTAGTGTTGGTTTGCACCATGCCATAATGTGTAGAATCCTTATAATAATATAATAAAAATAGTTATAACAGCTAGATCTAGATCTAAATAACTTGACAGCTTATATTCAAATTAAATCCACAACAATACTTACAAATAAACAAGTCAGATAAAATAAAAATTTTAAGCTCTCTTCAGAGTTCTTTTCTTGGCAGGCCCAAGAACTATTGAACCACAATCGTCATTTCTTTCTCTTGTTTACAGAGCTGATAGTGCTCTGCTTTTTGGGCTTTAGAAAGTGAAAGTCACTGTCTTCACTTTCAGAAAGAGCACTTCCGGTATGGGTTGGCTATTGTTGACTAGATCTATTAGTAATCACAGAAATTTGTTATTTCACATTTTTGGGAAATTGAAAATGATTTTTTTTTTTTGGCACAAATTTTCACGGAAAATTTTCCATTTGCGGAACATTGCTAATTTGCGGAAATCCGCAAAATAGCAGAAGACTAGAAGCACTGAAAATCGATAAGAGTAGCCAGTAGGCTTCGGCGGCCACCTGAGCAAAATTCGAAATTTTCTACCAACTGAAAATGTTTAACACCCATTGGTTCTCGGGGCCCTGTCCAAGAGACAGGGGAGCAAAGAATAGGACCACTGTATCCGTACCACACATGTCGTAAAAGGCGACTAAGGTCGGTTGGGCAAAGGGTTAGCAGCCCTTTCCCGTAAAACAAAAAGCAGCTACAAAAACATCAACAGCAAAAACAACACGACCACCAGTTCTAGAAGATGGAGGACCTTCATCATCGAGGAGAGGAGAGGACCTGAGAGAATAGTGTAGAATGACGCAGGGTGGTGAAAGCCAGAAGGAGGCCACCAAACCGAGAAACCTCCTGTTGACCAGAAAAACCACCAGACTTGGCACCTGGAATGTTCATACAATGTACGAGGCAGGGAAGGCACTGCAGGTTGCAAGAGAGATGGAGGGCTACCAACTGGACATACTGGGTCTCTGTGAGACGAGATGGACGAATGCAGGGGAGTGCCAACTTTCAGGGGAAACGGTTCTCTACTCTGGACAGCTGGAGGAAAACTCGCCGCATACAGAAGGAGTAGGTATTCTGTTATCAACACACGCCAAGCGGGCTTTGATAGGACATCATGGAAACAGATAGAAAAGGACGCTCACGACAGGCTTCGCTGGAGTAATGTAGTTGATGGCCTGTGCTCCACTGGGAGTTAAAAAGGGCGAGAGAGAGAGAGAAAATGTTTAAAGTGTCCCGCGCGCTCATATGACCTTACATTATGCAGTTACGAGCGCCGTAAAACACAACATACCAAAAGAAAAAAAGAGAGTGAAAGACCGGCCATCGTGCGTACGAATGGTCCGGCCGCCGGCCGGTCCCACATCTTGCTCAGTAGCATCAGTAGTGAGCCTTTTTCTTTACAGTAGAGGCGAAAAATGTTTTTACATTTTTATTATCGTTCCCAACTAGATTAGATCTACATGCAGTAAGCCACCAGGGGTCTAGGTGATTTTATCGGCCTGCAAGAGGTCAGGGGGGAGTCCACACCGGGGTGGGAGCTTTTCTCATCTGGAAAGGGGGGGGGGGGAGAATAGCGAGACATAGGTTATTCTGAGAATAAAGGCGGCCAAAAGAAACGATCCGGATCAAAGCGATCGATCATTTGCATTGCGTTGTTGAACTTTGAACTTTCTTTCGTATCCAAATTGATGTAGATCTAGAACCCAGGCCTACTCTCAGTCTTCTTCTTCTACTCAGTTTACGTAGTGTACAGCATTAGAATCAATCTGGGCGGAAGAAGGGTGTTGCACAATCACAGACAACCGAACCGAAGAGTTAGATGCAAGTTGCAAAGAAAGGCCGTCTTGACGAGTGACGAGTCCGAAGAACATTTTTTCATATTCGGACTTGAGTCCGAATAAAAAAATTTCATATTCGAATATGAAAAAATGTTATTCGGACTCGGGTCCAGAAAAAAGGAAGTGTCTTCGTTCTATAAAAATCTTACATTGGTGTTTCCAATTTTCCGCCATTTTTTAGTTTCCCCCATACATCTGCCGATCCGATGCCCGCCGCCTCATTGATACACCCCCCCACCCCCCATGTTTCCAACTTTCTTTGTTGTAGAAAAAGGTAAAATTGAAGATTAGCAGACCACCTGGCACTTGCATATTATGAGCTGTGTTTTAAAAAAAAGACCAATTCGTTCAAATACACAAACCTGTGTCATCTCTCGCTCGATTGTTTATCAAGAAAAAGTTGTGTTGCTGTGTAGAGCCGATATACGGCAACTTTTGATTCCATAGACCAGCGCACAATTCATTGCGTAGATCTACGTCAAGACTAGCTTACTATTGTAATAATGATCAGTTGCCGGGGGAAAAAAGACTGACGCGTATGCGACGTTCAACGCCCGCACTGATAGTGCCCCCCCCCCCCCCCCTCCCCGACATGCACACACAGCCACACATGTGCAGGCCGCCTATCCGACCCCGACACACGCTAACGAGCCATCTTTAATTGCTTTGATGACCTCTTGACAAATAAACATTTATTAGAAGCGCTATAACTTTTCAGGCCAGTCTCAAATTCATCATAAGATAAAAAATCGGCTCCTGCACAAAACGCCATTTTGCCCAAAGTGATCCAAGTCTCTACCCAGCCTGAGGCGAGTCACGAGTGAGGCAGGACAGGAAGCCAGAGTCACGAGTCACAGGAAGGCGGAAGTGATGTCATGCTGAACAAGAATCAGAGTCCAAAAATAACATTTTTTCATATTCGGACTCGAGTCCGAAGAGTCACTTCGGCAAAGAAAATAATCCGAGTCGGCAGGCTGCTGTCGTGCGGTCGTGTTGCCACCATGACTGACAAAGCGGTAATACCTCAATATGACGTAGAATAAGATGGCTGTTACTATAAATATCAGCCAATGCCGTTAAGTTGTCGTTCTCTAGCTTACCGCCTGTGACGCAAGCATGCCATTTATTAGAGAGAAAGTTAGATCTGGAGTACCTGGCCCAACCCGCGACCACTTGTCGTATTTTGCTTCTCAGCAGTCTCTGTCAGCAAAATAGGTCAGGCAATCCATGTTCAGGGCCACTTCATTGTGTCAACTTCCGGTTTATACTGTGACTGTGATATCGTCAATCATTCCAAAATGTCATGTCGCAGATTTCGCATTTTAACATGTTAATACAGTTAATGCTCCGCCCTTGACGCGACCCCATGCCCTCAGCGCGACCGTATACGGAACAGGTGCAAGAAAGTTGTTAGTACACCATTTAAAGGTTAGTAAAATCATTTCCTTATCAAAGTATGAATGATGAAAACAAATATCTTATTAATAACAGAGGGTACAGAGACAAGTGCTCGCGGGTTGGGCCAGCTACTCTAGTTTAGTAACTGAAGTAAACTTCTCTAAGAATGTTTCTGATAAGCCTTTCACTTCGAACTCGACTGCTGCACTAGCAGACGACTGACGTTTTTGGAAAAGGATTGACCAAAAGTGGAACTAGACAAGGCACGTAACTCTAATAAAACAGATTGCACTCGAGCTGCACAGAAGGAAAAATGGGGAACTGGTCGCGCTCAGGGCACAGTCGCGCCAAGGGCGGGATAGTATAGCTGTAGGCTGTAGGTAGCACTTGAGAGGGGTGAAAAGTTGGTTCACCACGGCACGGTTCAGTGCATCAATATTTAGATTCTAGATCTAGATTCTAGATCTAGATCTAGATATAGTCTATATCTAGATATCTATTCTATATCTAGACTCTAGATCTAGACTAGATCTAGATCTAGATCTATATCTAGATCTAGTAGAAAATGAACAACTGGTAGATCTAGCTAAGCCTAAGCGTGAGACGGCAGGGAAAGTAAACAGTAAAAGAATATATCTGCGCTTTTTCGGTAGTTCCCACCCCGCAATTGTTACTCACGGGTTTTGGTCCCAAGAGTAGGGGGGTTTCAGGCCCCTGACCTAACAAAAATAGGAAGGGGGGTTTCAGGGGGGCATGCCCCCCTGAATTTTACTACAATTTAATGTTTTAGTTTTGCTGTTGGTAGGTTTGATCTTAGCTCACCGCGAATCAAACGTATAGATCTAGATATCTAGATCTAGAATCTAGATATACATCTAGATCTAGATGTAGGTCAGGCTCAAATAAAGGGGGTGGGAACTACCGAAAAAGCACCAATATATCTAGATCTAGATCTAGATATCTAGATTCTAGATCTAGAATATAATAGATCTAGAATCTACAACGTGAAGTGAAGTTTTTACCACCACTGTTTGAATTTGTTGACCGCCGGGTTGACTGTAGATTTTCTAGTCTGTAGTGTAGTGTTAGTGTTAGAAAAAGAGGTTTACATTTGCATTCTAGCCTTACTCCGTCAACGCATATGGCATAACATCATAATAAGAATGATTACTGTACTAACCTAGAAGTTGTCATGCCACCGAAAAAAGTAAGGTATCCATTGGAAGTTCAGAGACTACAATATCACCCCTACTACAAGCAGTACAAGGCCTGGCGAGACGTCGCCGACGCCATTCTTTTCCTTCTATAAAATTGCCAGGATTGGGATCGAGGAACCGCCAAGTTTAGAAGCCGTTAACATTTTGTTTCACCGGTAGGCTAAACAATTTTACTTGGCTTATGTCCACAAAAGATTGTAAAGGGCCTTTATTTATTATGTATGGCCTATTTTTAAGACATTGGGAGGTGGGAGGGGGGGGACTGAAAAATTCCTACTTTCCTCGTTTCCTCTTTTTCATACACACGAACACTTGCACGTGTAAGGGGGCGTGCACAAACACTCATACAATTACCAGCGCACAAACACGTGCGCCCGCGCTCGTACGCCCACGCGCACACACACACAAACACACCACAAACAAACAGACACACAAACAAACACACTTCTGCCCTGATGCATTAATTAACTTTGAAACTCAACAATGGAGAAATTTTAGATAGCGGGTAATATAAATTAAAGATGAAGCTTGTTACTACTTATTTTAATTTTAAGAGTGAGGGTACAATTAATTACACCTGCCTAGCTCTTTTAGGATATAGGTATTGTGTAATGATATTACAAATTAACTTAATCGTGTTTTAACAAGAACACCTAATACTTTGTCGAACGTGTTTTGTTTTTTTCTAAACCTTTTTTGCGTGCTACATTTTACAATGCACTTGGCCTACCAAATAGCCAAACTGACAATGTCGAAGACGGAAGGAAGCATGTTGCTAATTTCGACTAGGCTATGTTCCGATAGTGAGCTGTTATTAGAAGGCTGCTCAGACTATTGATTGAATGCTTTGAATGGTTTATAATTTCTTCCCTCAAAATCAGTTCAGACCCACACCGATTCAATGGTACACATTTCATTATAATAATGATGTAATCATCCATATTCCAGATGTTTTCATTAGTCATTCACTAATGTTCCATGCCCAATACTCCTATTGGATGATGCAAACTGCTTTGGAACCCCTTGGACTTGGAGCATTGGAGATAGATTCAATCAAGCTTCAACTCACAACATTCTACTTACGTTTTCCCTATGCCTGATTCAATAGCACTAGGGCCTAAGAAAGTGAGTGACTGAGCCGCGCATATAGATCTAGGCCTATAGCAGTAGAAACTAAAAACAATGGCAGAAGCCGCAGAAACAGACCTTGTTATATACCAGCGAGGAGAGGTCAGTATCGTTAAATACCTTTGAGTATGGATCTAGATAGACTCTCTAGTCTATCTAGAAGTCTATACCAGAATCTAGATCTAGATCTATTCTAGAGAGATTCTCTAGACTCTCAGATCATTGTTTTTTTCATTTTATTACTGTGTTTATCTTATCATTGTAATGCCATGCCATAGGAGGCCTAGAAATCTAGAGAATCTAGATCTAGATTCTAGATCTAGAATCTAGATCTAAATGTAGATCTAGATTCTAGATCTAATCTAGATCTAGAATCTAGATCTAGATCTAGATCTCTAGATCTAGATCTAGATCCAGATCTACACATGCCATAAAGTAGGGTAGGCCTCTATGATATGGTTAGAAGGCCTAGAATATCTAGGCCTGTTTGTAATGTGTGAAAGACTGAAAGGATGGATTGTACTTTACCGGACCACTTGTTTACACCCATGATTACTACGCGCGCCTAACGAAACCACGCACTCAGAGTTGTCTACGTGCGGATAAATAGTTCCGCGGGACACTTTGTATTGTGCGCCAGCGACGAGGCGGGTTAGCGAGCGAGTGTTGCGTGTGGAGGGGGCTGGGGAGAGGGGGGTTTCAGGGGGGCAAGAATGACCACCCCAACAAACACTAATAAAAAGAAGAGCCCTACTGACCCTACATATCGTCGGCCTTGTGATAAAACCGGCTAACCCCAGCGAGGTAAATTTTACAGGAGAAGGAAAAAACTGTTTTATTTCAAAACAAAGGCGTCTAACGATAAATCAATGCTTTAAACACCTATAAAAACACTTTACCGAAAATCTGTAGAACTTTTTTTCCTTTAAAAATTGCTTTTAATGAAACTGTGTGGGTTAGACGGTTATGTCGCTCAAATTTTCCTGGATAGAACCGACCAACCCTCAATTTTGTGGGTTGACCGGTTTTATCAGGAAGCCACTGCTGGCCTTGAGTTTGGTTGTGTGCAGCCAAGCCACACTTGACGGTAACGTATTTGATCACTTGCTTCAATCGTCAAGATCTTTTGTAGAAGAAGGAGGAGGAGTAGGAGAAAAAAGAAGGAGGAGGAGGAGTAAGAAGAAGAAGAAGGAAGAGGAGGAGGACTATATTATTGCTACCAACATACTATCAGCTGCTGCCATTTCAGTGCTACGGAGTCAATTCGGGCAAAAACAGCAGTCACAAAGTTTAACCTTTAATAGAAGTAGAAGAAGCAGAACACAGCAATGGGTATATTAATTACATTTAAAGTAGAAGAACAGGAGGCTTGAAGGGTAAGGGAGAACGGCTACAGCAACAACTACAAAAACAACAATTACTACAACAACAACAAAAACAACAGTAGTAGCAGCAGCAGCAGTAGGCCTTTAGAATTTATAACCGTGTCCGACATGGTACTATTGGCACTGGGTGGCCATTCAAAGGCCTGGAAAAAAGTAATACTAAGAAAGAAATGAAAGCAGAAAGCCACACAAAAGCTCTGCTACCTCGGCAATGGTTTGGGAGAAGTTGGTTACATAATGATATATCATTATTATACAAAAAGACTTTGTGAGTACCAAAGAATGCGCCAGCTTTCTCCAAGTGTGTGGCTTGACAACTACTACTACTACTTTATTGAGTTTTCTCGACGACAGAAAAGAGCATGTCTGTCTCACTCTGTGTCCTATGGCTACAACAAGGCAATACGACAAAAGTTACCATTGTTTTGAAAGACTCTACTATAATCGAATTTGGCTTGATCGCTTTCAAAACTTCTTACTGAGGCAAAGTTTCATGGTAATTGTGGTAGCATCGTGGTACGACGGCCTACAACTCAAGTAGATGTTTATACTGGTTGGCAGTTATCTTCAATCTGTCTTTGCAGAGAGGTCCAGCAGTAACCGTCGTACACTTGTGTTCAGCTTTCTTGGTCCCTGCAGCGCTTGCCATCCATCATCAAAGTTCAGCTTGTACTGATTTTTAAAGACTGGAGTGTACTTTGATGCCTGCAAGCCAGTGACAGTAGGATCGCCTGCTTTTCTCCCTGGACGGATTGTTTAGTGCTCTCCGACCTTTGCGAAATCTTTGAAAAAGCTGTGGTCCAGGCACATAACTTCATAGGGCCTGGGGATGCTTCTGGCTTTGAGCATGATGTTCACGTAGTGCATTGGTATGTACATCAGTTCGTTTTTTAGCGATCGCTCAATAGTGCCATGGACTGAATCCACTTCCATTTGGGTATGGCCCTTGGGAAGAATTTCTGCTCAACTGTGATGTCAAGCTCTTTGGCCAGCGAGGCCATTGCACTCACCAGGGTGGCTTTCTGTTTTAGTAGTTGCGCCAATCACTGCAGATGATGAAGTGGTTGAAATCAGTCACTTGCAATATCAGTTAGTGAGTCAGACGTGATGAAAACTGTTGAAGCCCAGACCAACTTCACTTTCATACCAGACATATCATCTGGCGTCTCTGGTGGCAAGATCCTAAGTTGTAACATTGTGTACAGCCAGTTTTGTTTATATAAGGTGGAAGTCTTTAGTGATGAGGCCAGAAGGACGCACTGGATCTCCATACAAAGGACACACACAGCCTCCCTGTCCTTCTCCTTCTCTGGTCTAGTGGCAGCTTTCCTCATATTCATATTTGAGCTGTGTGTTCTGTTTCTGTGAGGTTTCCAGATTTGAACTTTGTACAAATGTCGCACTGGTCTTTCTTGGTTGAAAGTAAACCCAAATTGTTTTTCTTGAACTTTTGGCAGAACACTTGATAGCTCAATGTGGCTTTCACCCTCTCTGCAAAGTTCTCCATGTATACTTGATGCAGATCTGACCTTTTCTGGATTGTCATCTGTAGACAGGAGGATATCTTCGAAAGTTTGTCAAAAAATTCCTCTTTATGGAACAACTTGTCATCCTTGGCTCTCTCATGGTGGGCGCGATGTGTTCTAGGTGGGTGGACCTCTTGGTTGTTGTTTTTTCGGAGAAGACACTTTAAATAAACCAGTGGGTCAGGCCTGTGGTGTTCTTGAAGATTGTTTTACAAACAGGTGTTCTTTGACCATTGACTCTTGTAAGTGGCTGTAATTTCTCCTTGGGTTTTCGCTTGCTGTGTAAGATCTCTTTTTGTCTATCATGTTTATCGTGTCATATACGTAGGCTCTCTTTTCTTTCCAAGAGAGTGACCAGTGATATCATTGCATTTTGTACAAACCATTTTACAACTGCCAAGGACGTCAAGTTCACATCCTGCTCGCTTCGTGCCTTGACATGGGTAGAGGCATCCCCAGTTCTTTCAACCTCTTCCTTTTGTTACCCTTCCAATCTTTTTCATGCCATGTCCTTTTCGCAGAGATCAAAGGTAACATAACTATTGTACTATCAACTGATGTGACATTAGCCTGGTCATGTCGATCACTTTCCACTGCGCTGAGGGTAAGAGGTGACGCAGCAAGAGTGGCATCATCTTATTGAATGTTATAGCGTTATGTAAGCTAAGGTTTGATATAAAGATAAAGCCTTAGGTTATGACACTGAGAAAATAATCTACTCAAAACACAAACGAAATGAACTTTTAAAAAAAATCGAACGATGTTTCAGAAGGTAATGACTGCAATAAACACAGCAAATGAAAAAATAAAATAAAAAGCACTTTAAAAAACAACGATCGTTGGGGGCAGACGGTGTGCTGGACAGGTCCCACAATTATTTTTTTTGGAGTGAGTTAGTAAAGGAGGAAATGCTATCTACTTCGCCCATTCAATTGTGAAGGGAAAATGATTAGGAGAAGAGACAGTAGTCCGTATAGGGGAAAATGCCTTCACAATCGGTGAATTTCGAGTACAAAGACAAAGAAAAACACGCGGACAGAAAACATAGTTTCATCATACAAAACAAAATCCATAAAGATACATTTCAAATACTGGACTTGTCACGAGATAAACAGTTCTGTGGGAACAGTGGGGAGTTTTAGTCATTAATAACGTTATCAGCAGCATTAAAACGAAGAAAAAAGAGGAAACAACCAGATCTATATAACTCCCCAGTGAAATCAACAAGAAATATTACACAAATATTCCTTTTTGGAGAGCTCACACGGTTATGTGAGCAAATTCTGAACTATTACAGGTCTGAATCTGATGTCAAACTAAGTCCAGAGAGGAGTCGAAGCCGGGGTTAGTCGGTAACGTAGCAAGTGGCCCCTCATTGTTAGCGCGATAAAAACAGCCAACCCTCATTCCGTCCCTCGCAGGTGGGATAGTCGGAATTATCGGGCTAAAATCCGATGGGTGCCGGGTTATACTGTTTTATTTCTAATGTTTTAAAGACATTTCTAGACAAAATTCAGATCTGTCTTTGAGTGAGCATATGAAATGGACAATTTACTATCGATAGGTCCAATAAAAAGTTTTTTGATATTTTGTGGGTTAGACGGTTTTATTACCAGGCCGACGATATGTATCTCCCCTACCCCTACCCTTACCACCCCTCTTACCTTTACCCTACCCCTACCCTTACCACCCCTCTTACCTTTACCCTACCCCTACCCTTACCACCCCTCTTACCTTTACCCTACCCCTACTTCTACCCCTACCATTACCTTTACCCTTCTTACCCTAACCTTCACCCTTCTTACCTTTACACCTTCCCCTTCCCCAAACCCTAACCCTGCCTAACCCTAATCCTAACCCTTTATTCGGAAGGGCTGACCAACCAACAACACTCAAACTCAAAAGAGGGGATGAGTGGGGTAGATAGGCTTCTATCCTAACACTAACCCTAAATCCTAACAACAAACACTGACCCTTAGCCTACTCCTTTATCTTACCCTAACTCTTGTATAGTTTGCTCAATGGACCTTGTCACGGTAAGTTTTCAGGCCCTCTGCGGAACTTCTCCACTTTATATATTATATATTGGCTGCTTGTTACGGAATTCCTCCCGAATTTTAAAAAAAGGAAGTGGCTATTCTCACGAGGGGTGAGGGTTTTTTTTTACTCATGCACCCGTTTCATTTTACTCGTTTTATATACTTTTTTTCTTGTAGTAGTTTGCATGCTGAACACGAATATGGCCTATTTTTTTCATTTTTGCCACAAATCTATAGTTATTGAGTTATTGATGTTTGAAAGCAGAGCTAGGACCAGTGGCTTAGTAATATTTGACTTGTTTTTAACAACATGGGGGGTTTCAGGGGGCATGCAGACCTAAAAAGAATCTGGGGGGTTTCAGGGGGGCAGGCCCCCTACATTTCACAATGATTTGATGTTTTGGCAATTAGGATTGATTTATACTTGAAAACAATTGATTTGCAAGGGTTTTAGTGGCCATGCGTATGTTCTGCAGCAAAAATTATGGCAGTTTAGCCCTCATACCAATGTATCTGTGTGGGTGCATATAAGTAAAAATTTACCGGGGTGAGAATAGTCTGTACAGGTATCTCGCTATTCTCACCCCCCCTCAGGTTTGCTACATGTAGTAGACCTATAGCACAGACACACACAGACCAGCACGGAGAATAACACATGAAGCTACAGCGAGCACCTTGCTAGTCTGTGTGATTGGTCTAAATATAGACGACATATTTCCGCCATCTATTTTTGTCGTCTTCCGGGGCTTCCCTCGCCAGTTGACTAGATCTCACCAAAGACTATGTACGTAAACGTAAACTTACACTGTCTCTGATCTCACCAAGGCGGGCCCGCTTTGCGTGTGTGTGTATGTGTGCGCTTGTGTGTGCATGGGTGCCAGACCTCCGGGCCCAGGGCTGACAAAAAATTTCACAGCATCACTTTCTGGGTTGCATCGGGTCTTTAAAAAGGAAAAAAATATATACAACAAAAAATATTTATAATTCATTGCCCCCAAAAAATTGGGCCGGTAACGATCTAGTCCGGCCAAGCGTAATGGACTTTTAAAAACTGGTATCGCGATATGCATGCAAGTTCCGGATGCGATATTTCGTTTCGCCTGTCTGATCACCGGAAACGCTGGTGACGGGATCAAAAGGATAAATAAATTACATGGCTGTAAAAAGGGGTGAACGTTGGAAATCGGATTTTTTTTTTATCCCTCGATTTTTTTCATGAGTAGTTAGTTCTGTTCGCGCGAAAACCGGGATCAGTGTCAATGAGACGAAAGCTAAGCCAGCGAGTGGTTGTGTCATAAGCTAGCCTACCGTCAATCTAGATAAATTCAAATAGATTTCTAGATCTGTGCAAGCTCTGTTTGATTTTTGAAGATGAAGTTTCTAGATAGACCTGCTTCTATGGAGGAATTGGAGGAAAGGGTAAAAAATAAGTGGCGTTGGCAATGGTTTTCATTTTTTTTTTAATTTCAGGGTTGGGAAAATTTTGGATCTGGGTTTTCAGGGCTGGAAAAATTTTTCACTGGCACGCATGTGTGTGTGTGTGTGCGTGTACGACTTTGAGAAGGTAAATTTATGGAACGAGAATTGCTGAGATTGTTTATAAAAGATAATACAAATTAATACAACAAAACAAAGACAGCGAGATCTTGTCAACAGTTACCAGGGGTGAGAATATAGGTGGCCGAAAAAATTGTGAATGCATGATGATCCTCATTCTAGATTCTCAGTTCAGAGTATTTTTATTTTCATGTCATCCTATCCTTGTACTATTTTACTCATGGACCAGTCTCATGCTCAGATTCAAATATCCAAAGCACTCATATTCGTCTGCTTTACATGAGAATTTTGACTTGTTATCCACCACAAAGTATTAAATTAGTTTATATGAGATGTATGGATATTTTTATAATGCGAACTGTATTACAATAGGCCCAAATGAATGGTAATACAGTAGAACCTACCATGACAGCTACGTGTTAAATACAGCCACCTATACAAACTGCCACTTTTTATTTCCCCCCAAGTACTTTTTCTTTTCTATTTCACTGTGTAAAACAGGCACCTGTCCAAGGTGGCCGCAACCACCCTATTAACAATCAACTGAAATTACCTGTCTGAGACGGCCATCCGCAAATCTTTCTTAAACCCAACGCTTTGTCTTTCTATAAATTACGTTTTGGCCTCTGTCACTATGGATTTGCAGTCATAATCCATTCACCTATCGTTACTGTTACCATGTCATTTTCATGTTTGCAGTAATGTGCTACGGTCTCCACTTTCATCTGGCTCCTTTTAAGTTCTCACAAGTTCAATGCATTGTTAACTTATATCCACTTCTAATTTTACTCACAGGGATTTTGGTGAAGAACACTGGCTAAGAGAATGGAAACTATATCCCCTGGCCCGCTGAAAATCTATAACCTTTGACTTTCCAGAAAATGCCGTCTTGACTTCATTAAAAAATTTGTATAATACCATACATTTTCAGACTAGTGTAGGGGGGCTCTCGTGGCCTAGAAGTTAAGGTGTTCGCCTCTCATTCAAAGGTCCCGAGTTTGAATACACGGGAAGTGACAGAAAAATTTTCTTCTCTAAAATTGTCTCCTTTCACCACCTTTCCTGCTCTCAGCAATGTTCTGTCGTCTGCTTTCGTCTCATCTTTCTGACCCCCAACCCCTCACCTCCTTTGCCCCCTCCTCTGGGCTCCTGACTCTTTCTGCAGCCTTTCTACTGCTACTCCTTGGCTCCTCCTAACTGCTGTCTTTCTGCCACACCCCTGATCTTCTGGTAGGAAAGATCTACACCTAGCCTTCTCGGACAAGGGCGAAAAATCTTGGAGGTCCCATGTGCAAGTTGCGCACGTTAAAGATCCCTTGGTGGTCTAAAATCGATAAGAGTAGGCTTCGGCCGCCACCCGGGCAAAATTCAAAATTTCCTACCAACGAAAAATGATTAGGTGTGTCCCGCGCGCTCATATGACCTTATGCAGTTGCGAGCGCCGTAAAACCCTATACTAAACAAACAAACAGCCTCACCTTCTTTACCCACCTCCTCTAGGCTCCTGACTCTTTCTGCAGCCTTTCTACTGCTACTCCTTGGCTCCTTCTTACTGCTATCTTTCAGCCACACCTCTGATCTTCTGGTAGGAAAGGTCTATAGAATCTACACCTAGCCTTCTCGGACAAGGGTGAAAAATCTCGAAGGGCCCGAGTGCAAGAAGCGCACATTAATGATCCCTTGTTGGTCTAAAATCGATAAGAGTAGACTGCAGCCGCCACCCAGACAATATTCAAAATTTTCTACCAACTGAAAAAGTTTAATTTTTCCTGCGTGCTCATATGCAGTTGCGAGCACCGTAAAACACTTTCTTTTTTTTTTAAACATGTAGAATTCTTTAGCCTGTCTAAGATTCTAATAATTTAAAAGTAGATGTTCCTTTTTATTATGTTACTAAACCTAGCATAATAAAAGTCAGCTATCCATTTTTTTCTCTGAGATGCATGTATGCTGGTCCCTTGTCAGCTCATGAGAACATACTGCTACTTTCTCTGAACAGTACCTTACTCTTTGTTTGACTTTCAATATATGTTATGCAGCTCGCCTCCACCCCCAAAGCAGAAACACCAAGGTTTGATTGATATTCTCTAGTATACTCACACACACACCCCCCCTGTATATCGGTGAAAGATGGATTAGTACGGAAATTACAGAAGTGCATAAATCTAATACAGTTTCTTTATTTTCGCAAACTTCTATAGTGTATTGTTTTCTTTCTTCACCTTATTGTCAACCTTTTGAAATCAGACTGGCCAAGGCTGCTAGTTTCAGTTCAAAGTGTTTCATTTTCATCTTAAACCATCTAGATTGAGCCCACAAATTCCCTAGGTCTTCTAGTCTTCATCTGTCTTTGTAATGGTGTACTATTAATGCCCTATGTCCTTGCAACACTGTAAGGTTAGTTACGTTGCAGGACCTCTTAATTTAAGGTCCGTCTTTGGCTGGTAGTCCATGGTGAATGGGATCATTTGTGCAAAGTGCTTTAAAGAAAGAGCCTTGAACTCCCAGACCTGCATTCTTGTGTTACAAGTCCAGTAGCCTATCCTCTAAACTACTGGTACCATCTTCAAGTTGCATAGAGAGCAGCTGTGTCAAAGTACCCTCTCTATAAGTACTCAAAATTTCACTTCTATAAAAAAAAAAATGCAGATTTTGATGAAAGAAAATGCAGAGTGTAATTTCCTACTCAATTTTCATGCACTTTTGTCTCTTTCTTCTGTTCTTTTTAAAGGAAAGTGAAAATGATGCTTGGGATGACAGTGCATTGATCAAGGCCTATGATGAAGCTGTTTCTGCAATGAAGGTAATGATTTATGATGGGAGATCCTGCTTAAAATTAAAGTTTGTGAAAGTAACTATAACTATACAAAGTTCTTTTTACAAATAATAACATGCATAATTCATTATCTGACAATGTCAGTTCAAATTGCACTTTATTTTTTAGAGTATTTGTTTTGTTGTCATAACTTCACTGAGATGCTTTTTAAAAAAATTGTTGAGACAATAGTAATGCAAATTTTGTGAGTGAAGTCCCAATCTGACTGACCTTTATTTGATAATCAAGGGTTTATACTTATACATCTCTTTGAAATGATGCTATATGTGTCTCGACGCGATGGAATCAGGCGTTCGTCAAAATAATGAAAGTGAAGAAATTGGAATTTTTCTGCAGGTTTGAGAATATTCATCAAATTTTTTTATTTTGGCTCAACACCTTTCATGCACATTAAAGAACACATTTGTGTGCGGATTTTACGGAAAAACGTTGATTAAAGGCATTAAAGTTGTAAATTTTCAGTTTTCAGTGACTTTCAAGCTACGGAAATAACTTTGGCGGTCATTTTCTCGCTAATCTTACCATTGAAACCAGGCGACCCCCACCTCCTTCTATCGCCAATATCTTGACTTGTATCCGAGATAAATGGATATTTTTTTCATCATAAGCAAGGCAAACAGACAAGCTTTAGGATGATAGCAATAACTTAATATGCCCAAAATTTGACGAACACCTGGTTCCACCGCATCGTGACTCATATTTTCAGCTACTGTTTTGCATACTGTAAAAAAAAAAAAAAGTAGTCAAGTGTGTTGGTACTTTTTCTTGTTTCCTGATGCTGTTTCATATCATGTATAGTTTTGTCTTTGAAATTTTTCAGGCTAAACTTGCAGAGCAGAATCCTGAATTCTCAGCGTTGTGTGGAAATTCCAAAAGCAAAAAGAAGAAGAAAAACAGAGGGAAACATAAAAAGAAAAATGTAAGATTTGGTATTTCATATGTTATGCATTCCTTTCCACTTTTTCTTCTGTATGGGAAAATAAGGTTTGAAATTGGAGGCAGGCTGTTTTTCAGTTTTATATTCTTAGCTTTATATTATGCATATTAGTTGTCAGCTGGTCCTTCGAAAGGGTTGGATTTCTCCTACTGGTGGAGTACCACTCGTACACATCACATCCTGCTTGGCACTGAAGGGGCATCTTTTCACCATATTTACTGTCCAACTCCACTCATTCATGCCAGTCTCTAAATAAAAGTTTTTGTCACTCCCTCTTTTCTCATTCATGCACAGTAGAATTGTAAATGGGCTGATTCATCATGTCACGCTCATAACTGTGCCTGATCTACAACAGGGAACTGCTGCTTTTTATTTCCTAATCCTTACAGACGTCTATTGTCATTTTCCTCTACTTCTTTTGTATATTTGTTACACTCTTGTGACCTGCTATTTCCGGGGTGCCTTGATAGTTGAAGCAGACTTTGTGCTGTTGAAGCTAGAGAGGTGTGCAGAGTAAGTCTGAGTCCCTGTAAAGACTTCTCTGTTGACACCCTCCCCTTGGCGCTCATATGACCTTAGGCAGTTGCCAGCGCCATGAAACCCTCTACTGAAACTTTTTTTAAAAGTTTTTGTCAATGTAGTAAAAAGCAACCCCGATGAAAAGCCATGTGTGGGATCCCTTTGAAATGACCTACAGAGCTGTATCAGTGTGAAGTAAGGTGTTGAACACATACAAAGGCAGTATTGTGTATTTTGTTTTTGTTTTTCTTTTTTTGTTATTAGCTTTCCTCTGGTGTTTGGAAGGCTGGAGACCGCTGCCAAGCTGTCTACACAGAGGATGGTGAAGTCTATGAGGCCAGAATTTTGTCCATCAATCAAGACAAGGGCACTTGCACAGTACAATATATTGGGTATGGAAATGAGGAAGAGCAACAGCTGACAGATCTCCTGCCTGCTGGCAGTCTGGCCTCGTCTCAGAGAACTGACACAGCCAGTGAAGTAAGTCTATTCTGTATGTTGGGGCAACTTTTTTCTTGCCTTTTGTGGAATTTATGTAGCAATGCTCGAAACATTTTGTTATATTTATATATATACTTATATATATATATATCCTGTTAACGTCCAAGGTTTTTTATAATTTGTTTGGGGGAGTGGAGGGAACCCAATTATCTCAATGAATTAAGGCATTATTTTGTTTATAAAAGTTGCTGTGAGCGTGGGTGTTTACTTATAATGCATTTATATATAATATAAATCACACTGTCATTTCTTCTTTCTCCTTATTTATTGCCTGTATTGGAGCCGCAGCACAATAATAATTACCAAAGCATGCGGAGATCAGAGCCCCAAGCTTAAACAATTTGACAATTTGAACTTTCAGTGTTGAAAAGTGTCGATTAACTTCATCGAACGCAACTGTTTCAAGTTAAATGAAAGTGGTGGAAAGTTATTCATAGTGGGGATGGTTTTTTTCGTTTTGGGGTTGTTGTTGTTTTGTTTTTTTGCAGGGGGGGCAATCGATTGCTCCTTACTATTAAAAAAAAGGGGGTGGGGGGGGGGGAAGGATTTTGTGCTCAATATCTGTAGATGCCGCACAAATTTCTCCCTGCGAGATGAGTAAAGATTGTCTTTGTCATTTATGTCGAACTGTTTCAATGTTCATTTAAAAGTAATTCAGCTGGTGTGAATAGTAAGAACAATGACAAAGTGATCTTTCACAGCTGAAAGGTGTTGAGTTAAATGATCCTATTATGGATAGGGGTACCGAAGAAGACTTTTAAGCAAGTGAAATTGTGAGGGAGATTTTTCTTCAGATGGTAGTGACAGGGATGAAAGTTAAGACTTGCTTCTTGAGCTAAGTAACTCAACAAGGACACACTGTGGTGGAGATAGATTAAGACTTGAGAGAGGGCAGGGTTGTTGTGAAAGAGGGTATGATGATTCGTATGGTCAAAATAGACAAACATTGAAAATGATACTGGGAGAAGAAACAGATAAGCTGTAGACTGAGACTGAGAAGAATTTCACTGTAAATCCGTACTAGCCGCTTCTGATTGGTGTGCTTGCAAGTTCCAAATTTTATTTTTTACAGACAGAGAGCATTAATCAAGAGCCTGTGGCCCACAGAGAACCTTCCACAGAAAAGCCAAAGAGTAGAAAGACAACAACAAGAAGTGGCAAAAGGCCCCCTAAACCTGGAGTTCCTCACTACCCATGGAACGGACAGCTCCCCCCTCCCCCTGCCTTTGGCCAGATGCCTCCACCTCCCGTGAGTCTTCTTCTTCTCATTCACATCACACCTGAACACAGGTATCTTTTATATTCAAGGCCGAACTTCTAAGTTCCTCTGATGGCCCATATAGCTGCTCCTGTAGTGTTAATGGGGTTGACTTCCTGTGAGTGAAAGAACCAATTAAGGTAGTGACATTTGTGTTTGTGATATTAGAGATTTTCTTTTCTTTTCGTGGCCTGATTGAAGGGCGAGATCTTTAGCATACAGGCAACATTGGTGCCTTATCTGATTTTTACAAACATTTTGGCCGTCAAGTCTACCTGCATTTTATTGGCACATGTGTCCTATATGCGATGATTTATGGCAGGCAAAGGCAAACATGTCCATGCCACGGGCAGGAATAAACGATTACGAATATCTCTTGGACCAAAGCAGAAGAAAAAGAGGTGAAGTTTGTTGAAATACCCAAGCTCTCTAAGTTATGACTACTATTGACACTATGGCATATTATGCTACTCAAAGACATTTCATGATGAGATTGAATATTTGATGTATTTCTTTCAGGTGGTCCTGAAACTACTAATTTTGATTTTCAACACGAACAGTTTGCTTTTTTAATTAATCATCAACTCACCACAGGTCACATTCTTTATTATTTTAATTAGCGGGGTCCCCTTTCAATGAAAGGAATGATCGGTGCATTAACATCAACTGAAAGTCTACTATATTTACCTTCTACTGAAATGGAGCAATAAATGAGAGAAAAGTGACACACGAAGAAAGCAATAATATGAAACGGAAGCAGTCCCCAGTAAAATATGAAATGGCTAAGGGCAGAGTGAAAACATCTGAGAGCTTCGATTTACAGGAAAAAACCCATCAAACCTGAAAAATTAAAAGGTAGTTTCCGAACTTTGAAAATATGCCCACGTAACCCTTTCGGATAATTCTTGTCTGAATAATATTTTTGTAGGTTTTATAGGCTCCTGTGTAAAAAGTTTTTACTGACCCCACAAACGGGCTTAGCTCCACTATAATAAGATAACTGGGTGAGCTCATGGGCTGGACTGTGCTTGTGCTTGATATACAGTATTATGATAGAGTAAGTAACTGTTTACTCTCTCTGGGACAGACCAACCATTCTTTGTAGTTAAACTGTATATGTCCTAGGAATGGGTTTATTTTGTTTTTTAAACCTTAACCGTTGAATTGCATCTTTATAGAAGGAAAGTAATGATTGTGTAAAAAGATAAGTTCGTCCTTTTTCCTTTCAATGGCAGCGGTGTGTTTCATCCGAATATTCTGCAAATCCAACGTTCTCTAATCAGACATCAAAACAATTTTTTAAATCCTCTCACTTTGCCTTTCTTTAGATGACACCATTGATTGACTTGACTGCTTTCTTTACAGGGTTCATGGGTTCATATTCATATTACATAATCAGTTTCTTCTTTATTTATAACACAGCCGTTTCCTCAGTTCCAGCCGCCACCATTCCCTGGCTACCCCCCAGCAGGCCCTAGCCCTCCAGTACCGCCTCCTCCGGTGAGTGTTAGGGAGCAAGACCAATGTTAATAGCAGTTGAATTGAAAAAAACATACAGTATAATCCACTTACATCGACATCCAATTTATCAACATATTTTCCAATAAAAATGTTTTTGTTCAATATCTTCACTAAACAATTTCTCTTATATCGACTTTTTTTTCAGCCCACTCTGCTTTATCGACATGCTTCCTGGGTACCTGGCGAAGCCCACGAACATGAATGGGGGGAAAACCCACGCTAACGATCAATGCATTAGTTCTTCATTAAGTCCTCTCACCCGCCAAGTAGCCTATTATATCGACTCTCCAGGCTTTAGTAGGTGATGTAGGGCCTACACAGTGTAGTCAGTAGTAGTCTCCAACACAGTACAGTGCCTCGTAGACGTGAGCGTCTCGCGTCCTAGGCATCACCTCCCTACCCCCACTCCCGATGGCTCACTCTCCTTCCCCATCCCATTCTGTCTGAGTCTGTTGCTGGCAAGTGCCATGGTCAGTGACTCAGTGCCTCCCCTTATCCATTTTCCCCAGCAAGCGCCCATAAACAGGCCTTACAAGGGTGCTACAACAAAGTTTGCAATGGTGTGTAGTAAGCGCCTCGCGCTGCTCGGTCTTTGGTACCGTAACTCCACCCCCTTCCTCAATTCCTCTTGTTACTTTCAAGAATCAAGGGAAGTAGTGTTGTCTTTTAATGCTGACCTCCCCTTGTTTTTTCCTCTTTGGCTTTATATTTTCTTTTAAGGACATTTTTATATATATATTATTATATATGGACTTCAAATTCACTTCCCACAGCATATCGATATAAGCAGATTATACTGTATATCGAGAAGCCAGTCAGAACAAGACTTTCCTGCCCCTGTACAACATATTTATATTCTTACAATTGCCTTAAAATATCCACTTATAACCGCGATGTCAAATTGTTGTTTTATTGAAGAGTTTTTATTGGAGGGTATATCTTACATGAATGTGAACTTCGTTTCGAGAGAAAACAATTAACTTTAGAGGATTTGTGCAAGTTCTTTCGGAAGTATAGAAACTCCTCATTTTGATGTATTGATTGTTTTTGCTTGTTTCCATAATGTAGCTTTCAGCAGAACCCTAGGAAGTTAATGTAATCTATTTTCCAAAGACAAATTTGTAGCTTAAAGAAAGTAAAACAAAAAAGTGAGATTGATTCTTTGGCCAGACGCTTTTGTATAGCCAATTGTAATAGAATTGAGTTCTGGGCTTGTAAATATAAAGAAAACTGTAAGGCCAAAGGATTTAATTTGTTTATTTTAACAGTTTCGTTCTGAATTTACTGACTATAAATGTAAGCTGAAATTTTAAATGTTCTTTTCCTAGGCTTTCCCAAGTTTTCCACCTCCACCACCATTGTTTTCACAAGAAGGACCAGGGGATGAAAATGAAGCAATGTACAGTATGTTGATGTCATGGTACATGAGCGGTTACCACACAGGGTATTATCAGGTGAGAAGTTTAGTATTTTTTGGTCTGGACTGTTTAAGACGGCCACCCATTGCCAAAGAGAAAAGTGGCCTTCTTACGCAGTGTCATCATAATGTGAAAAATACACAAGAGAGGAAATGGGAAGTGGCCGATTGGCCATTAGAGCAGATTTGCAGATTTGACTGTAGTGCTAGGGGAAAGACCAGAGGTACATGGGAAAAGAAAAAAACTCAACTTTCAAAGCTACAGTAATGAAAATATTTTCAATGCAAAAGTTATTTTGCGTATCCTCTCTTTCTTTCAGTAGTATCACTTGCATACAACAAGGAACATTGTTTCTGTTTGATTTTGATCTGATATTGAGTGGTTGTGTGAATAGTTATGTTGATGAATGTTGTCCTAAACCGGTTGAGGTCTCTTTTTTTTTTCTTTCATTTTTCTCGTCATTTGCTTGTTCATTCCCTAAAATGTCAGCTCTTTGCCTCACTTCATTGTAAATCAAATGTGGAATATGCTGTTGTCATAATTCTTTCAGTATTCCATACTATTGCCCAGGTTCGAATTTGGGCAGCGACCGAAAAATTTTCTTCTCTAAAATTGTCTCCTCTCACCTCCTTTCCTGCTCTCTAGCAATGTTCTGTCGTCTGCTTTCGTCTCCTCTTTCTGCCCCCACCTCTCACCTCCTTTGCCCCCTCTTCTGGGCTCCTGACTCTTTCTCAACTTTCTGCAGCCTTTCTGCTGCTACTCCTTGGCTCCTTCTTACTGCTGTCTTTCAGCCAGACCCCTGATCTTCCGGTAGGAAAGATCTACACCTAGCCTTCTCTGTCAAGGGTGAAAAATCTCGGAGGGCTCGTGGGCAAGTTGCGCACGTTAAAGGTCCCTTGGTGGTCTAAAATCAATAAGAGTAGGCTTCGGTCACTACACAGGCAAAATTCAAAATTTCCTTCCAACTGAAAATGTTTAATGTGTCCCGCGTGCTCATATGACCTTATGCAGTTGCGAGCGCCGTAAAATACTTACAGAAAAGAAAAAAAAGAAATGGTAGCGTTTCGTGAAATCACTGTCTTCACCCAATTTTATGCGAGATGTCTAAAAGAACATCAGCCTGATTTTGGCGAAAATGTAGCAACACAATAAACTGGTATACCTCTTAATAGACGTTAAAAAATAGTAATAATAATCACTGTATTGTAGGGACTGCATGTAGCATGTATGTATATATTATATATATATATATATATATATGTGGGGGATTCAGAATTAATGGGTTATTGCCCCTCACTCTGCAGGCCAGTTTCCAATTTTCCTTTGAAAACATAGCTCTTCAAGCTCGTGAGAGCTACTTTATTATAGATCTGATTCAGGTTCCGGCCTATGAACTTTGATCAGGAGTTATAATTGCAAAGTGGAAATATAAACTCTTAGACTGCAGTCATTAAATCATTAATTCCAACATTCTTCAACAAGTAGCCTACAGTGGAACCTGCTCTAATGGCAACCTGTCCAAGACAATCGCCTTTACAAATGACCACTTCCCACTTTCCATCTTGCGGTTTTATAATTACATTGTAGGTCTATATTATAATGTCTCTGTCCAAGACGACCATCTAAGAAAAACACTTTTCTCCTCAACAATGGTTGGCCATCTTGGACAATTTTGACTTGACTTTAAAATACAACTCTTACTCCATTTTTAGATTGCAATGTGTGTTCAATTTAATAATAGTAATATCGTGGAAACGAAACCTCACTCCTCTCTTAAGTTTTAGTGTAACTACTTCCATGCTTCAGTGAGAAAAAGTTGGCATTTGGCTTAATCAGGCAACCTCTGCTTAATTCCATCTGCTATGTGTTCACATTCACACTTCCTTTTTGAAAGAATTTTTTAAAAGAAGACTTGTAATTGTTGGTGTGTATGCTTCTTGGGGGAGAGGGAGAGATAGGAAGGGTCAATACTGTGTTTAAAGGCAGTACACCTTTAGACAGAGAGCACAATATTGGCACAAACTCTTAACAGTAAACTTAGCTTTGAACAGACTTGTCTAACAAGGACAATCTTTTTGACCTAGTAAATTGAAATGTAATTTAATGATAAAAGTTTCTTCTTTTTTTTCCCCCGATAAATGAGTAATCTTGAGGCAAAATTTTCTTCTTCCTATTGTGTTGGTAGTTGTTCAACACTCTTGACAGACTTTGGAGTCCCAAAGTTCCATGAAGAAAGATTTGTCTATTCCCATAAAGCTGTTTTCATTCTTAACCCCTTTCTTGTTTCATTTTTTTTCAGGGCCTGAAACAAATGTCAGGAAGTGCATCCGGGGCATCAGCGCTTGGAAGTCATAGATGATAGAATTATCATCTACTCACTACCCGTGCCTGTGTTCATGTCTGTGGTTGAATGGTGCCTGTGCGTGCTCAATGTGTTAGGGAGACTTGTTTTCATTGTGATTAATTAGCCATGCTCTTTGCCATAATCAATGTTTTCAGATGTGGCAGTATGAAAGAAATAAAACTGGAAAATGTACAGATGTTTTAGTTTGTCTTATGTTTTATCCTGGTTTCTCTTTTGTACTTTCTACCTTTTTTTGCCCAAAGAGTAGAACGTGGTGCACTTATAGCCTTTCATTTATCACACAGTGAACTGTCTGAAATTGCAGTAGACACCGGCATAACTTGAATTTAATTATCTTTGCGTTGACATGTCTGCATTTCCAAAATTGCTGAGATTATCACTTTAAACTACTTGGTACAATTTTCTGATTTTCCTTTTAACCATTTGAGGTGACTGGTGTATTACTACTACTTGCTCTTTCATTTGGAGAATTTTTTTAATGGACACTGAAAGCCTCAGGAATGATGTAACTAGTAACAATTACCTGTCCCATCTAGCATTGTCAAATAGTATATATTGAGATCCACTTTAAACTGGTGAGTTATGTGGTTGGAGCGAGTCACTGGTAGGTCGGGTTGTTTTTTTTATTGTCCCTGCTTTGTTCCTGTCTATTTCTTGCTTTTTCTTAGCCCAAACATGGTGGTTGGAGGCAGCCAGGAGTAGATCTTACTTCTTTTCTTTTCCTTTGTTGTTTCTGTCTAATATTTTTACTTTTTCCAGGTATTAAACAATCATTATTGGGTTAGTATGAACCTGTTTCCTCATACTAAAACTAAAAAACTGAGGAGCAAGTAGCTAGAACTGTTTGCCCCATGGCGCACCTGCAGCGAAATTTTAATTGCAGCGGGGGGGATTTCCCGCCGAGCGCCTTATCACGTCAGGGTCACAGGGATTAGCTCCCAGTCGTCGCTCTGTCTGAGCAGACTTAATTTTGGGTACTTTTCAACTTTAAGTTTTAGGTGTATCCTTGTATTTGTGACTATTATCGTTTAATACGTCCAAAGCTCGCATTTCTGCTCTTGTGGGTGGTTGGTGGGTGCTCTGGTATGGTTTGCTCCTTCTTTCCTGTCAAACATCTATTGTCCTGATGTCTCCTTCTTTATTGTGTTTATTACTCTCTTGTAATAATTTTTTTTGTAACACCTGTCTTCGGCACTTATATGATCTTACTGTGTTGCAAGTGCCGTAAAACTCTTACTAAAACTAAACTAAACTTCTGCTCTTGAGACTCTTTGTTTGACGCCCTGAAGTCAGGAATGCTAAATCGTAAAATGTTTTGGACAAGTGTGAATGGAAAATTTTTTTTTTTAATTTTTTTAGTTTCTCAACAAAAACTGTCGAACTTTTGGAATATTAGCGATGTAATATAATGGAATTACACAGAAATCTGAAAAGATTGTATCTGGGCTTATAATATAATAGAAAGCTGTAATTTTGCAACTACTTTATCCATCTGGCACACAACTGGCTAAGAAGTAATTCCTCCACAAACAACTTTATGTGTCTAATACAATCGTGAATATTTGGGTATTTTCTCCCAAAAGTTTATAAAAATTATCTTGTAGTCTCTCTATGAAGAAGTACAAATCGATTTTAGTGCCGTAGTACTAATCTCTACTGTGCAATACACAAACAGTATCTATTACACTCCGGAAATTCCTTACTTTTCTTTTAAAACGCAAAGTCTGGGTTTTGTAGGTTGTCTGAATATCAGGGATTACTTCTCGTAACTGGGTTTTCAGAATAATTTCTAGCTTTCCAGTGACACTGAATCAGCACAAGACTTTTACAACTTTTATTTTCGTTTCTATCACCATTTTTAATAACTGACAACGTTCTGATTTCTTCACATTCATAAGTGTCAGCTCATATGTCCGACACAAAAACTAAGAATGAATGTGTTAGCTGTCATTGTTTTTATTTCATTCAAGAAGTTTATCTCTACCATTGTATTTTTATAGTTTTGTGTGGGGGGGTTTTTTAGTCGCATAATTTATCTTACATAGCTGTATGCAGGCTGCCACATACACTGCATGATTCATGATCGAACGCAGAGTACCTTTCTCTTGTGTATTTTTAAATGGTAAAACTAAAGCCAACGCTGAGTATCTTGTCAAAAAATGCAGAGATTAGATGTGCATCTTTCTTCATTTACAAATATAACTTGACTAGTACTACTACCTTCGCAGATTTAAGATTTCTCATGATGAAAGGCATGATATTCGTAGTCAGTTCAATACAGATTTTGTAGAGATCTGTCAAACCGTTTTTTAATAAACAATCATTTATTCATAAGTATGTAACTTAAATAAGACAAATTCAGGGTACTCTACAAACACTTGTCTAGAACAAAAACTAAGTCACAGAAATTAACCATTCTGACGTAGAATAAATCTCAAGACATAGAGCTTTTGGTACATCAGTGTAATGGTTTACTGTGTGGGATGGGGAAGAAGTTATATCGTTTCAAACGTGGACAAAAATGCGAACCTTTTAAACGACACTGACCGAGACGCTTCAAGACTTCAAGGCTCATTATTCAATTAACCCCGTGACCCCGAGCCGGGGAGCTCCAGCGGGCTGCTGAGTCACGCTAAGTAAAAGTCACAGAATCAGGCAAAAACCGTGGTCCGAGCATATTTTTGCATTAAGACATGCTGGAAGAAGCTGTTCATTATCCAAAATAGTACATCGATATTCCTTAATCATACCAAAAGAGGGGTTTTCCATCTGACTGCACCAAATGACACACAATTCACAACAGCATGTTTAAATACTGCATTTATTTAAAGGAAATCATGGATCTGAAATACTGATTTAGTAGAGTGATTTTCTCATTGCCACAACATACATCAATGCCAAGTAAACTTTTTATGCATCGGTTTATCCTTTTATGGTCTTCTCCTGTTGAAGTATCCTTCTTCCGTAGTGATTAAGCTATGTTTCAGTGGGGGGGGGGGTCTTTTGGCTGGACAGTACTCTTTGTATTACAAAAAGTACATACATGTATTATGTTCCAGGTAAATTGTATTAACTCCATTTTGTTTGCATTAATAGACGGTCTTTTCTCAGTTTGTGGAGAAGCTTGATTGTCTGTTTCCAGCCTATGGGGACTTTTTGAGGCCACATGCCAAACTTTTTTTTTTGGACACAGATCCTATTTCTACTGAGGTACCTGTGTTATTATATTGACGTGAAACAATTTTTTAAGTACCACGTTGTAGCTGTAGCTGGTGGAGAAAACCTTTATATTATATCATGTTGAGTCAGAGATTTGATTTCTTCATAACGTCCGACACACCCTCTTCGGAAAGATATTCTTGTAGGCCCACTAGTCGCACAACGAAAGGAGAAGGTCACACAAGAAGGAAATGCACTAGAAAATGTTGAATCCTTCTACTATCTTGGGAGTATTAGACACTCTTAGACAGAGTGGGAGGAACAAGTGCCGCGTTGGAAAAGCACAGGCTGCTTTCACATCTTTGGATAGGATTTGGAAGACCAGAGATATCTCACTTCGAACAAAGTTGATGATTTTCAATTCAAATGTGAAGTCAGTCCTGTTGTATGGATGTGAGACATGGAACTCATCACAGACTTACATATTAAAGAGGATCCAGGTTTTCTTGAACAAGTGTCTAAGAAAGTTACTGAGGATCAGATGGACAGACAGGGTCACCAACGAGGAAGTGTTGAGGAAAACAAGACAGATCCCAGTCAGAGATGAGGTAGGAAGAAGGCGGTGGCGATGGATTGGACATACTCTCAAGAAGTCAGGCAGTTGCATAACAAAGAAAGTTTTGGATTGAAATCCACAGTGTAAGAGATCAAGGGGAAGACCGCGAGGAACCCGGAGAAGAATCACAGAAATCGATGTACAGAAAAGTGGGAAGACATGGAATACATGTAACATAAAGAGGTGAAGTTGGATGAAAAAAGCTGCTTTGGTACTAATATGACCTATTTGTATTGCAAGTGCCGAAAAACTTTCTTAAAACTGAACTCTGCTTCAGGCGTGTCTTACCGCGGACATGGACTCATATATTTTACCTCTCAGCATTTCATGAAAGCCACCAGAGGCAAGCGTAATGGAATACAGTGGGTCCCTTGGCAGCATCTGGACGACTTGGACTTTGCCGATGACCTTGCACTGCTCTCACGCAAACATGCTCAGATGCAAGAAAAGACCAAGGAACTCAACAGCCTATCAAGGAGTGTTGGCCTACGTATACACCAGGGCAAGTCGAAAGTAGTGAAGCTAGGAAAAGTGTCAAGCACTGCTGTGACAGTTGAAGACACTCCCCTAGAAGTAGAAGAAGTTGACTCCTTTGTCTACTTTGGAAGTGTCATCGATGGTAAAGGTGGAACCGAGGCAGATGTAAAAGCAAGAACCGCCGAGGCAAGGTCAGCATTCCAGCAATTTTCAAAAGTCTGGAAAGCAAGCAACATCTCACTGCGCTCCAAGATTCGACTCTTTAATTCCAATGGCAAGTCTGTTCTTCTCTACGGCTGCGAAACTTGGAAGACAACAAAGACAGTGCTGAATAAAGTCCAGACTTTCATCAACAAACGTATGAGGAGTATCCTAAGAATTAAATGGCAGGATAGAATAAGAAATGAAGCGCTGTAGAAAAGGACAGGACAAAAGGATATGTAGAAGTAGAAATAGAACTAAGGAAGTGGCGTTGGATGGGACATACCTTCAGAAAGCCCAGCGGAAACATTACAAAACAGTCACTGCATTGGAACCCACAGGGAGCATGAGGCAGGGGTAGGCCACGGGAAACATGGAGGAGAAGTGTGGAAAGGGATATGAGAGAGATGAAGCTCACTTGGAGCGAGCTAGGAAGGATGGCCCAGAACAGAGATAGGAAGGAGCTTGTATGTGGCCTATACCGTGCCGGGGGTGAAAGGCACTGGTGATTTCATTAACAATTGTTTCTTGGGTCTGAGTTTAGTGCTTTTCATCACACTCCAAGTGTTGTTTCAAAGTCAAAGACATCGCTAGTTTTCCTTGTCAGATCACTAACCTGAAAGTGAAAGGCAGGCAATACTCATTGTATTAGAAGAATAGAATAATGTGATACTCGCCCCCCTCT